CAACTCCTTCAACAAAGAGCTCTTGATTTGCGGTGAATCATAGGCTCGACACTCAGTGTAACAAATCCTTAGATAGCTAACAGGAGTCGCACCACTCTCAGAGGCCAGTGTGGCCGGTGAGCAGACTTGACTGTGGGAAATACCCGAGCCCTAGCTCGTGGGTAGTCCTCAAGCACATCTCGTCTGAATCCGTTATTAGACGTTCAGTTTTTTTTTTTGTACGGTTTTGTTCATGGACGGTCCCACTAAGTAACAATCTAGTACCAGGTTGAAAGGAACAATCGTACTGGGCTATGTAGGTGAGTTATTGATGCAGCATCCCCTCTGCTGCTGGCTAGCACAAACAATCACATCCACAGAGGTTGGGTGTGCACTCAAATGTCAAAGAACAGTTGCGAGGTGTGGGCCACCACCAAAATTCAAAGGAGCAGGTTGGATCTTGCAGGAAGCAAAGCTCCTCTGGAATCTCCCCCAACAAGCCAGGAGACTTGTCCATCTCAATAATGCTCAGGTTAAAGTTGGTAGCCAAGTTACCAAGCTCCAAGGTTGGTAAAGACCCGGTCAGCAATGGCAGGTGAGAGAGATCGAGCTCTACTAGATCAGGGAGAGAGTGGCTGCCATTGAGCTGGGTGGGTATTCCTTGACCAGAGAAGAGATTGTCCCCTAATTGAAGCACCACAAGCTTGGTCCAAGAGGTCCAAATCTCTGATGGGATTGTTCCTGTGAGCATGTTGTGCTGGACATTGAATTCATCCATGTTGTCCAATCCTGGAGCCAGCAACTCATTTGGAAGTGATCCTGTGAGTTGATTGCAGCAAACCTTGAAGGTGGTCATAGCAGTTGCTCCAAGCTCTGAGGGAATTCTTCCAGTCAGCTTGTTTCCAGCCAGGTCCGCCAGATTTAATTGTGTCAGCAGCCCAAGCTCACCTTTTAGAAAGCAGCAAAAAAAAATAGAGTTAGTTGTATCTTTCACAAAAACCACTGTTGCATTGCTTGTGTGTCACACTTACTTGGAATTTGACCTGTGAATCTGTTCTTGCTTAGGCCAATGTCTAGCAAGGATGTCATTTGGAACAACTGTGTTGGGAGAATTTCCATGATGTTGCCATGAATTTGGTTTTCATACAAGTGCAAATAGAGGAGTCCAGTCAACATGGAAATTTCAGGTGGAATATGGATGGCCAACAATGACAGATCAATACTCCCCAATGCCAAATCCACAAATTCTCCCCCATCAGAGCAGGATTCCATGCTGGTGAATTCAGTGATTCCCGGTTGGAAACTGCCATCATCAGTAAAGGTACCATAATTATTGGAGAACCAGTCACATTCATGTCTTTGATCATCCAACCAACTGTCTTGAATGCTGGATGGCCAGTTTGGTCCTTGGAAGGAATAGAAAAAGGTGGCAAGAGCAAACAATTGTTTCTTTCTCAAGTCAGGTAGCTTGTCATAGTCACGGTGATGTAAGACCCATGTCAGGGCTTGGCTTTGTGGGGAGAATGGATCTTGCAAACTGGCTTGGGTATAGTTGGGTAGCAATTGCTGGAATTCTTGCACCACCATGTGGTTGGTGGGATCTGTGGGTTGGTTGGTAGTATCATTTGACCACATAGTGGTGGAGGTGTTGGATGTGCTTGGCATACCCGTAGTGTCATCTGGAACTTGTAGTGTTGTATCCTTGTTTCCGTTCTTGGCCAAACCCACAGCCAGAGAAACTCCCACCACAACACAGACAAGGAGAATTATCAATGGTATTCCAATTATGAGGAATCGTTGCCTACCGTTGGGTTGCTGTTGTTGGTGGTGGTATACCAGTTCTGCCGTCGTTAGGATGGGTTCCTCTTGTACAGGTTGAGCCTGTACCAGGCCAGATTCCTCGTCTGGAGTGGTTACTTGTGGCTGCGGGTTGCTTGGTTCGTTGGAACCCTCTGCCTGGTTGGAACCCTCTGCTTCTTCGCCGATTCCTCCAATGGCATAGGCTCCCACCATGCTACTGGTAGTCTGTGACAGATGGATGCCTGCATAGGGAAGCTCTGCAGCAACGGTACCGGTATGGTCGGTGGGTGTAGTGTGATCCAAGGTACCGGTAGCTTGCTGAGGACCGTCACTCGCCTTGGCGCTTAAGGCTTCATCTGGCTCTGCTGATGCCGTTGATGACGGTGGGAACTATTAATAGTACGTAGCTCACTCTTCTGAGCAGCTGCTTCCAATTCAGGAAGTCTCGTTAAAACGTCTAAAACCGCATCGTCACCATCTTCTTGCTGAGCCTTATTTGCCACTCCAGTATGGGTAGCATCATCAACATCATCGTTGGCTGCATTCCCAGGGGGGCCAAGGTCCTTTGGGCTTTCATCGCTGTTACTACCAGTAGCAGTAGTCATGATAGATACCGTAGCAGCAATAAGCTTGTGTTTCTCTTTATTGTCAGTTGTCTGTGGTGGTTGTGAGCTCCCTTTCTGCGAACAACAAAAGAACTACGTGAACAGTTAGTTAGTTGGTGAAACCAGAACACCAGCTAACTGCGTGGGGAAATTCAGGTTCGAAACTATTCTTTGGGTTGACCAGTGACCAGCCACCAGCCACCAGCCAACTGATGCATTCTTTTGGGATCCTTTCTCCGAATGGAATGGCATCGAATCGGAAAAAACTCCGAACTCCGAACACGGACTGTTATCTAGTTCCATGCCCCAGCCGAAACGGCTTACACGTACAAGAATTAGAGCTGCAGATGAATCTGTGACGGCAGTTGCATGTTGCATGGATGACTGTTGGTAGTCTAGCCCTGTTGGTAATGGTGGTTCAAGATTCACTCCGGGTGAGTCCTGTCAAGACTGAAATACTTTAATTATTTTTAAAATTATCAGAATTTGATTTCAAATGTGCACCTCAAGAGTGTTGCCAAGTGTTGCTGGCAACGTTGCCAGTGTTGCCGGCAACACTGGCAACACTCTTGTGGGACTCAATTTCAAACTGAATTTTGATTTCAAATTGAGTCCCACAAAGCATCTTGGCGATCGCCGGCGATCGCTGGCGATCGCCGGCGATCGCCTGGTGGGCTCCATTTGAAATCAAAGTCTGCTAATTTTAAAAATAATGAAAATTACTCGTACTGTGAGGATGACGAATCGTGTGGTGACGAAGTTTCTTGTCTCACGAACACCACGCTTGGCAACAACTGCTGAAAGAGGTGCTCTACGGAAGCTCGCGATCTTGCGCGATGGCATGAACTCGAAAGGGATTGATTCGATTCGATTAGGTTGCACGGCAAAGGCGAATGAATGAAGCAATCGGGAGCATAGAGCGAAGAGTCGAGTCGAGTCGAGTCGAGTCGAGTCGAGTCGCGTCTGTGTGTCACATGGGCGAGAACCATCTCATCAATTGCCAGGTTCCTCGATGAGAAGGGGTTTAGAGTAGGGAAATTATCTACGGAAGCCAGCCGGGGCCAGGCTTAAGCAAAGAACAGTCGAAATTCAGGACTAGGTTCTGAGGGATCAGGGGCAAGAAATTGAGGACCATTACGGGGGGCAAAGGGTTTGGCTTTGGTTAGGGTTAGGGTTAGGTTCCTTGATAGAAGAAGACAAATCGACCCGGAATCTCCCAAGCCGCAAACTTGGGATAAATCGAATCCAGTTGCCCCGCTCCCTCGCCCTGTACAAGTGCTTGGCTGTGCTTCCGCGCGGCTGGAGTTTGGAGTTGGATTCATTTATGCATCATTGCTGCAGAAATCCAATGTCACCAGGCTGACAGCTGTGGCTATCGATAGCAGTACTCCGCATCTATATCGCATTGTTCCCAGAAGAATGTCAAAAGTGGAGGCCCCGATTTCGAAACCGAGTCGATGAATCAACACCATTGTCTCTTTGAAATATTGCAACTTGAAGTGCTAGGTGGGCACTCAATGTCGTTGTCGTTGTCGTCCATCTCAAGAGAGCCAGGTGTAAAACCGTAGTCACCCATGAGAACAGGGGGTTCAACGGCGAAGTAGTTGCCTATTCCTGGCGACACGATGGTCGGAGGACCCGGGCGCCATGAACCACGGTATGGTTGGGGGGGCACTATCGGTACCGGTACCTGGTATCAGGAGAGATCTGATTTCTGCCATCGTATCGAGGTTTCCAGTACCGTATCGAGATCTCATTACTTTACTTTGTTCAACAAGTGGGCACCTATAATTCTTGACATACGATTGGTAGTATAAGGTGTCTGTTCCCGGTTCAAAGTCTTCGTGTGAATCGGCAGTTTGACGAGCGTCAGAATATTGCAGAACCCGGAAACAAGAAAGAACTATGGCATTGTGCAGTACCGTATCGTAGCTCTCTCTGGCTGTAACCATATCAGATTCAGGTTTCGAAGTCCAGTTGCAGCGTGGAGCTGGTTTCTGGGATAGCCCGGAAGCTCTCCTTATTTCGGCGGCTGCATGCCGTGCGTTGAGTCAAAGGCTCTCCTATTTGCCTTTCCTGTATACCAACCACGCCTCCAGAGAGACCGAGAGCGTCGTTCGCGACAAGGAGGAAATGCTCCTGAGCGTTGGCTTCAATCCTCGCAACGCAGAGTTGCTTCGTGGACATGTCGTCGTCACACAAAAGAGCTGGAGCATGAGTACTACATGCACGACCATTGCAACCATTGCCTTTGGGGCGCGCAAATATCTGCTCTGTTGGATACGAAACCAGCAGCAAGGTCGGGGTGTAGGATTTATCTGGAGAGAGCGCAGTTTGCACGTGCCCCTTGGCCCCGGTCGAATCCCAGCAATTGTCACCAGAACATCTTCAATCGGTTTATTTGTTGAGGGATTGATTTGCTTCTTTCGATCCAGCCTTGGTGGAGTGGGGGGGGGGGGGCAGACTGTTTTGCAAAGAGAGCAGGGAACACCTTTTTGCCGTAGGACTTGAATATTCATTGTGGCTGTTTTGATCCGACTATGCATGACAACAGCAAGTTCGATCCAATGCTTGCATGTCGCTTCTTTGCAACAAGGTGTGGCAGCGTCACAATGCCAACTTCATTGTTCCCCCGGGTTGGTGATGCTCACAACTGGACAGTAACCTTGCTTTGACAATGTGCTATCGTGACCCCGTTGTCCCCATATCCCAGGGCAAGTCGCAGAACCACACAATTAGCCACCACCACCTCCAACAGCCACAACAAAACTAACTCCCAAGACAGCAAAGAAGCCCAACGCCAAGAAAGCTTGACCAATTCACAACCCTTTTCGAGTCCAAGGGCGCTCCGCTACAGACAGTTCAGTCGAACAACAAGTAGAGGAACTCCAGGGTATGACCGAGACGCTCCAGGCTCACAATCAAGTTTTGGGAGCTGCATTGGGAGAAGCCAGAAACCTAAAAACCCCAACCGAAATTCTTCGCATCTGTTGCTGAACATTTCGAGACAAAAGGTTCAGGGTGAGGGCAGCAAGGATATCTACTACCCAATGGCATTTCATCCACGAGCTGTACATCACTGCCATCAACCAAGCCTGGCGAGGTATTCACATGGACAGACAGGGAGCTGGCTCAACCACGGCAGACAGTTCGGCCGAACTTTGTCCGCTCATTCTTGAAAGAAAAAGCATGGCTTCATGAAATCGGAAAGCCAGGGTGGTGGATGGGCATCACCAAGCCTTTTTTGTTTGGTTGCGAGGTGACTTGACTTGACCTGTCACTGCCATGTCAACCAAGGTGGCCCTATTGTGCTTGAAATCGGGGATGCAACCCACATGAGAAGTCCCATGAACCTCGTGAAGATGCTCCACTTCTGCAAGATGTGATCAAGGCGAGTGGGACATCCTGTTGATGGAGGATCTAATGACTCCAAGTCGCCCCTTCCCGATTTTCTCCCCTAAGAGCTCTGAGAGTTCTGTTTTCGTGGTGGCCTTGCCCTGAAACCTTGCATTTTCTGCATATATCTGGACGTTTCTCTGCGGTGATAAGATTATTTCGGCTCATAAATCGACAAGTTGCACATGATCTCTGCGTTCCTCCGTGCACAAGGTACAGTGGACATGGCTTTGGATCACACGTCAGCCCCCCCTCTCCCGATTTCCACCCCGAGATCTCTGTTTTCGTGGTGGCCTTGAACTGAAACCTTGCACTTTCTGCAGATACCTATCTGACACGCTTCTCTGCGGCGATTAGATTGGCATTCCTCATTTCGGCTCATAAATCGACGTTTTGCAGCTGCGTAGTTGCGAGTGATCTCTGCGCTTACTCCGTGCGATAAGGACATAAAGGTATGCTTTGCTCCTCGGATCTCTTTCTGCTCACATTGTCGTTCCCGAAAGCATCAACATGTAGAGACCTCGATGCATCATGCTGTTCCTACCGAATGACTCTGTTCAACACGGCGAGTCGTCCAGCAGACGCCAATGGTTCGTAATGGTATCCGCCACGATTCATCGTTCCGTCTTGCGGCTCCTTGAAAATCGATGTATCACTGGTTCCCTGAAAAGTGACAAGAAACCAAGGCTGCGTCCACAATAATCTGCTCCGGTTAGTTCCGGGTCAATCCCTCCATATTTGTGGGAAGCGTTGCCAGAGTCGAAAAAAGCTGTCTATCGGTCAGATTGATTTATTGCAACTGAGTGCATGAGCGGCTTTGCAAACTTTGGATCCGATTCATTGCTACATGGTGACAGTCGCCATCCTTTGCGGATTTGCGATGGACGAGTCGATCTCTCCCGCTTGCAAGCTCGTTTGCTGGGAAGTGTCATGCCCACAGTAGATGCTGGCCAGTGACTCATTTCTTGGGCCTTGGGGGTTCTTCGATCAAAGAAGACTGTTGCGTGGCAGCTTCGTGTATAGTACCCCCTTTGAACCAAATTGTTTGGTAAAGAGACACCGACTTCTGCAGCCACATTACCCATTGGCACCACGACTACCGTATTCAGCTGCCAGTGCGTCTGACTAGTTCTGCGATATCTCAGCCGTCTCGTCGGAAAAGCGAAGGCTGGGCACATCACAGCAGGAATCATTGCTGAATGCGTGGCAACACCTGACAATCATCCTTATCCTCTTAATGAAACCTGGTGACACCGGTTGATGTTGTGGTATTTGTTCGAGAGAGCGGCTCGAGAGAATGATTGTGATGGAGGGAGAGCATCGAGCCTGATCATCCATTTCTACGTAGTTGGCCAGAGTTTGTTGGACCAATGTACGTGCATGGATCGAGCGATCGAGGAGTGGTCTGAGTTGAGGCGCTACCGGTAATATTCAAATCTGGCAATTTGCGGGGCTACGTTGTCATCGGACACTGTTTTCCACAAACAATGCTCTGACGATGGCAGAAGCTGTCCTGACAGAATTGAATTCGTTCAATGCACAGACGCACGTCAAACCTTTGAGCCTCGTTGGAAACTGCTTCAATATGTGGACTCTGCACTCTGCAGACGTGCTAGCTCTTTCTGAAGATTGTCGAGTTGCTTTTTCAAGGCACCCGATTGCTTCCGGGGCTGCTCCGTGGTTTGCTGCTGTAATTTGTTCGCTTTCCTCTGCTTTCGGATTGCCATTTTCTGACTGCGAATGATGTTTTCTCGTGCGGGACGGAGCCTTCCACCCTGGCTTTTGTTTACCGCCATGGGAATGGGCCAAATTCTGGAGTTGAAGGTTATTGTTTCGCAAACCCTTTCTGAGCGCTACTCCGCTGCTTCCTTCTTCCCCCTCGACGTCGCTATCCTCCTCGTCATCATGAAAGCAAACGGCTGTGATCATCATCACTACTCGTAGCGTCTTGCATCTCTATTTTGCTATCTTGCCGCTCGCTGCAAGATTCTGCTTTCATCTTTTCCCTTCGCTTGGTAGCTTTAGGACCATTGCTGTAACAGGGTTTCTGCTTACTGTCTGTGGGTTCTTGCTTTGGTGTAATAGGCATTACATTTCGGAGTCTCTGAAGTTGTACGGTATGGGAAAGCCCCTTCTTGGTGGTCGTCTCTTCCTCGTGATCCTCTTCTTTCGAATCTTCTTCCTCCTTCTCCTCAGCTTTCTTTCTGCCAGCTCTATACAGGTCCCACTGCAGGATCGGGCCTTTTGCTTCTGCTGTCTTACAACGTGGAGCCCGATGGAAGCCAAGCTCTTCCAACTTTTGGGTTCGCTCTTCCTCTCTTTCAGTATTCAACCCTCTGCCATGACAGTCGACCACTGAGGGACCATGCCGTGGCAGGTTTGTTACTTCTCTCAGCTGAGCGCATATGTTGCCTTTGCCACTGTTCATCATCGAACACTCCAAGCAAAGTCAATGCCATTGAGGGCATCATATCTTTCTTGAAGCAGTTCTCCGCTTTCCCAGGCATGCCTCCGATGGTTCGCCCAATCGCCAGGTCCTGCGGGACTATTCCAGAAACTCTGGTGTGGCCACTTTTGTTCTTCTTGAAAGCAGTGATGAGTTCTTCCAACTTGGCCAACCATTCACCATTATCTTCTGTAGAGGTCATCTTGGAACGTAGTTATCCTATATCCTGCTACGTGCTAGCCAAGATTTCGAGTAATCCAGGACGCACTTGTGGCTTGTAACATCTGTTCAAGAAAGCTTGCATTCCGAAGGAGGTCCATTGATTGTGAGCGGCTCAGCGATCGAGCAATGGTTTTGTGTCGAATGGTGCCCATTGGACTCGACTCGTTCGAACATCTCCGTCGGTGCGCCGTTGTCGGATATGAGCTTTTATCAGGAGCTCCCCTTGTACGTATCACATCTGCAGTGTGTGTTGGGAAACTCTGCAGTGAACGACATACGGAACACATTCATGGCATGCGGGATCCGAGCGTATCGCTGGCTGCTCATGATATATATTAACAATGAAAAGGAGGGAGTACCGGTACGTTGTCGGGGGTAGGAAACTGTTGTTGTCGGCTTTTCACTTGCATTGGCAATGTGACCAACAGATTTGTCATCATTCATTGTAGCCGGACAAGTCCACACAGACAGCGGGCATGCACAGGTGTCGGCTCTGTTCCTTCATCGATCGTCAACCAAAGGTGGTAGTGCGAAGGTGTCGAAGAGTAGAATGGGCTCTGTGAATGAGGATTTGATGGTATTCCACGCTTCGTTGCCCGGTGAAGTGCGTCCATTGGGACCTTGTTGATGATGATGACTCTACATGTAGAGGGCCAAGCAGACGTCGGCACTTGGCAAAATGTTGTGATTTCAGCTGTGATTGACCACGGTTGACTCCTCAATCGAGGACGGTCGGTTGTAGACTTCCCCCCCGTCGAAAATGGGCCCTTTCATGTTGTCGAAGATCACAGGTGGCTTGCACAATTGGTACGTAGACGTCGGTATTGGCACGGTGTCACCGTAGTCAGTCGTTGGGTAACAATTTGTCGGGTTTTCCACGTCCATTGTGGTCGCTCGCTGAAGAAGATTTCTGGTCGTGGTCGGCGTTGACTACGTAACGTCGATCAGACCGAAATTGTTGTTGTTCTTGTAAGTTCCTCTCCTTTCGTGTTGCTCGTTGGCAACTGCATGTCTGCTGGAGGAGCGAGTGGATCCAATACATTACATACATGCGTTGTCTGTCCCTCGATCTGACTTGGATCGCATCGCATCGAATTAATGGTGGGAATTGGAACAACAACAGTTGGAGCAACTTACTTGCTTCCCTTGTCAGCCATTCAACATCAACTAAATGGGGAACGTGCTGCAATGGTACAGCTTAGTACATGTCGACTGGTTTTCTTTTGCCTCCACGGACTTGATGAATGAATCCAGCTCTTGCCACAATCCTCTTGCTTCCACCATTGGTCCACGTTTCCAACTTGAGAGCGAAAGTAAATGTAGCGAATCCCATCCAGGGTACCATTTGGACTATCGGTACGTGTCGCGCTGTGTTCATTGCTTTCGTACGTGCACGAACAGTCGTGTCATTGCATGCATCTGTCCTGCACACTCCGTTCCATGCATCGAGATGGATGGAGTTTTACCCGAGGATGCCTTTGTCATTATTTTTCGTTCATTCATTCATTCATGCATTCATGAGCAGTGAGAGATTGCTGTCAAATAGCCCCTTCCATGGAGCTCATCTTGTCATTGCTGTGTGTTAATAATTGTTGACTCGTTAGTCACTACGAACTCGTGTATCTTCGTCGATTGAATTCCTTGGTTTTTGATTTGATATCTGCATTGTTCCGTCTTTCTGATTGATTGATTGATGGACTTGATTAGTTAGTCTTTGGATGGATGGATGCACGACCGGTATAATTCCACCAGAGACTGGGATGCAATAGGAACATGGTACCTCCGTAGAGAATGGCTCCTCGTGCCATGGTCATTATTACGACCTTGTGATTCTGCAAGAGTCGTAAAAAGGGTGTATTGTCGGGTCGAGATAGAATGGCTCCTGCAAGGGCACTGCCTCCAATGGTATTCCAGGCATTCTCGTTGGAATCCTCGTTTTGAATGGTTTCCAAAGTCTGCTGTAACCAAGTTCTGCCGTTGTCTTGACAAGTCACACCATGGGTGGATGCAACAACCGTGACAAGAATGCGACAAGCACAAAAGAGTGCGGAAATGACGGCCCATTCCTTGGCCCATGCGATTCCCACGCGATGTACTTGGAGTGTTTGCTGGGTGAATTGAGTCACGTGAGCATAGGGGAGTATCTCTTGTAGATGGGAGGTAGTACTTGTAGTAGTACTGGTACTGGTAGTCACCAAGTGGCGGTAGATTCTCTTGGTAGCATCCACGGTAGATCCCAACACGTAGCCTGAGAGAAATCCTCCCACGAAAGAATCCAGTGCCGTTTCCAAGGCCAACCAAGAAATGACAGAGATCCAGTCCGTCTTGTCACTGCCGTTACTTCCACTTCCACTTCCACTATTGTTGGTGACAACATTTCCAAAACTGGATTTCAAGGACGTCAATTGCTTTTGTTGCTGAAGGCGTCTGGCCGTGGCTCGTTTGCTGAATTGACGAAATCCAGATCGAATGGCCGGACGTACTAGAGTGGCTGCTGTGGCGGCTCGTCGTCTAGTAGCAGTAGCAGTACTACTATTAATAATAGTAGCAGCATTGGAAGGAATGGCCATGGCAGATACCCCTGAACAATTGGAAGAACATCTTAATAATAGTAAGAGCAGCAGCAACAGACATCCTTGATCTCTTATTAATAGTCTCATCATGGCTTATTAATTAACGTTTTAAAAGATCACACTCCATCCTTGCCTTCCAGTGGATCTCCTCTCCTTTCTTTTGTTACGCCAAACGGATAAGTGAGCTTGAAGACCGAGAGATGGTGATGGTTGCGGTTGTTGCGGTTGTGAGGGCAGAGCTCGTCCAGATGTGGAAGTTCCACGTAAAAAATGAGGATGACGTCACTACCTTTCGTAAAGTTAGGGGTACGGTACCCCAGCCGTGGGAAAAGTGAGCACAGAGGCTGGCTGGAGTGCCGCACGGTGTACATAGATACCGTACAGATTATCACCTCTCTTTTGCTAGAGTCCGATGGTCTGGAGAGTCTGTCAGGACGGATCTGGGTTGGGGTCTCGGCATGCTTTCTAACCGTCTAACGGTGTGGACGGTTAGCCGTTGTTGTTTGCTAGTAATACTGCAGCTTATTGGGGAGTAATTTGGTTTTAGATTAAGCTGAAAAGCAAAAGTGAGGATTTTCTGGTGGTGCATAGATACACGGCTCTTAGCCTTATTCGCGACTCGATCCTAGATAGGGTTTGAGTTCGACTCATGACTGAGTCTCTCGTGAATAGTCATTTGAGACAGGGTTCTCAATGACCGCGCTAGTCATACTAGGTTGATGATGAAACATCGCTCTAGATATTTAGCCAGCGTGGAGTACTTCCACGCTACTAGATCCAGGCTAGACAAACCTTCCACGCGTTCCGTTTTAGGATCGTGGAGAGACGTAGGATTACTACCACAACCTACTCTATCACACTTTATAGTCTCCCGCGGGAAGCCAGATCTACGATCTGGCTTCATCAGTGCAGAACCAGTAATTGTATTTCCAATGAACAATGCTCTAAAATGAATCTGGAACAGAGATCCTGGTCAGTGACGGTGGTGCAGAGTTTCGTTGGTGGTGGCAACGAATTGACATTGTGAATCTACCACTAGAGCTTCTGACTGTATGACACATAATGGGATAACCTTTTGTTATTGAGCCAAACTATTGCTCAATGTATTTTATAGAACAAATAATACGATTGATGAACAGGCAGTAGTATACCGAATGTCAATTGGTAAATACCATTCCAGGTTAGATATTAGATCTTGTAATGGTAAAATACCATTTGTTGGCTGGATTTAGATCGGCCAATGTGAAAAACAGATTGCTGAATGGGAATCCTGCCGTGTAATAGTGGTGCAGAGTTCAGATGCAAGATCTGGGAGCTCAGAGCCAAAGATCCAAGACCCGAGGAGAGCGATATTTTCTCTTCGTTACCTGAACCTTTCTATCCAATCTGTTACCTTTTCTATACGTACGTTCTACTGTATCTATCATATGACCCATAGTCCCCTCTAACACATAGTAGCTAACCTCTTAGACGAAAATTAATACTAAATAGATAACCTCTCGAATACATATGCATACATGCAAGACAGAAATGATTGAACTAAGTACCAATGACAGCAGGGCAGCAGGGAGGTTATCCATCGAAGCCAATGAGCCGCAGTCTTATTAGTTAGGCAAAGAAGAGTCGAAATTAGAACAAAGCAATCTTGACATGGCCTTCCGACTGCACTACGCTAAAAGCTAGTGTAAAGATCTTTCGAGTGTTTTGAGTTTGAGAGAATGAAAGTTAATGAGAGGATTAGAAAGCTATGAAAACTAATCAAAAGAGAGAGATCCACAATCAAAGGATCGTAGATCTGAACTCCCGCGGGAGACTGTAGAGTGTGATAGGAGTAGGTTGCGGTAGCAATCCTACTCACTCCACGATCCAAAAACGGAACGCGTGGAAGATTCGTCTAGCATTTATCTAGTAGAGTGGAAGTACTCCACGCTGGCTAAATATCTAGAGCGATGTTTCATCATCAACCATAGTATGACTAGAGCGGTCATGAGAACCCCTGTCTCGAATGACTATTCCGAGAGACTCAGTCATGAGTCGAACTCAAACCCTATCTAGGATCAATCGCGAATAAGGCTAAGAGCCGTGTATTGCATTCGCCCCCTGACAAGGGTCCGGAAGGCACGACATCAGTCGACAAGAGAGCCAGCTAAATACTAGCGCGATGTTTCACCATCGACCTAGTAATGACTAGAGCGTCATTGAAACCCTGTCTAATGACTATTCACGAGAACTCAGTCATGAGTCGAACTCAAACCCTATCTAGGATCGAGTCGCGAATAAGGCTAAGAGCCGTGTATTGCATTCGCCCCCTGACAAGGGTCACGGAAGGCAACGACATCAGTCGACAAGCAGCCAGCTAAATATACTAGGCGTATGTTCAACATCGACCTAGTATGACTAGCGGTCATGAGAACCCTGTCTCAAATGAACTATTCACGAAAGAGCCTCAGTCATGAGTCGAACTCAACCCTATCTAGGATCGAGTGGCGAATAAGCTAAGAGCCGTGTATTGCATTCGCCCCTGAAAACGGTCACGGAAGGCCACAAATCAGTCGGACAAGAGCCAGCTAAAATATCTAGAGCGATGTTTCATCATCAACCTAGCTATGAACTAGCGCGGCATTTGATAACCCTGTCTCAAATGAATATTCAAGAGAGACTCAGTAATGAGTCGAACTCAAACCTATCTAGGATCGAGTCGCGAATAAGGCTAAGAGCCGTTATTGCATTCGCCCCTGACAAGGGTCACAGAAGGCACGACATCAGTCGGACAAGGAGAACATATGAATTAAAGTGCGGGCACTCTCCGGAGATTGGTGTAGACATGTGCGTCGCCGATGGCAATCCTACAAGGGGATCAGGCCTTGTATGGGTGTAAATACCTTATGTTCCAAGTCTGGTAGACTGTGCCGCTATTGCGGTAGTATGTCGGAGCCGTACAGTGCCATTGTTATTGACTCGGTCTGTGTGTAAGGACCTTGTGCGTTGGCTGACCGTATTAACGGTTCTGATACTGATGAATCATCATAGTGTCGTTGACATGGTGTTGATGAGGGACACGTGCCGTGTTCTCCTTATCGTGTTTTTCTGGATAAGTCGTTGGCGACGTTCCTTAATGTATTTCCGGTTTGCTTTGAACGGATGTGGTGAAGCTTGTCACGATTGACGCGCTTGAACTTGCGACGAAGTCCATGTTCATCCCGGAGAGTCTTCTCGACCTCTACGCGGGACTCACGTCTCTTGTCCATGACGACCGGTCATGGATACTGGGTAACCACGTTTGTTTCAGAACGATGGTTACTACTGTCTGCTGTCTTGGAGCAGCCCTTGTAGTTCATTGGTCCAATGAATCTACGAAGTTACTTCCTGTGGTAGGAAGACGATAGCTGGATGCATTGTTATCTTTTAGTTAAGGTTGCTTCCTTCGAGAAGTCCAATTGCTAGATACTCCAGTTCTTCCTATCGAGGAAAGGCCTTGGTAGTGTTGATTTCAAATTTCGACTTCTTGGAGTCTTTAGGGGAAAGGTCATCCTACTGTTCAACGCGATCTGCGAGATCGACGTCCGTAGGATGAGTTGATCATCAATCGTAGCACGGACATTTTCTAAGTCATGCATGTGTGCTTTCATCTTCCTTTTGAAGATGTCGGGACTATTACTATAGGGTCATTGGACCTCTGGTACCGTGCTTTCCTTCGGGAGAGTGCAATGGATAGTGTTGCTTCAGAGTGAGTGTGACAGCTCGATGTGGTATTGTCCCGTGTTCAGGTTAGTCTGGTAGCGCACTTGTAATCCATCTGGTTTCAAGAGGATGTCCTGTATATTTTGGACTAGGATAAGGCTTTCCGCTTAATCGTTTGTTCGGTTCCCGAAAATCCGAGATGAAATCGTGCAGATCCTCTTTCTTGGGAATGATTAAAAGTTGGTGCCGCCCACTTGAGAACGATTCACCTTCTTGGGTACCCCTGTCCTCGCATGACGTTCAACCTCCATCTAAAGAGTGTTGGTTGGAAACCGTGGAAGTAAGGGTGAGCCCTAGTTTAATAGGATTTTAGCGTCGGGACGAAGTTTTATTTCGTAGTCGTCATTCGCACTCTCCCAAGTATCCTCGACTGGGTTGAAGCACTTGGTTGAAAAGGTATTAGGCAGTTATTGCTCTTTCCTTGTTTAACGGATTTCGTCTCTGCATATCTGCCTTAAGCCTATTTGTTCGTATGTGTATCTAAGAATCTTCTGAGACTATTTAGCATTGTGGCTGACAGCTGCAGAATCGGAAATGGAGTAGTTCTCCTTTCTATTGGTGTGGCTCTCTTTCGCCCGGGAAAAATGCATGGTTCCACGACCAATGACATGGTAGTGAAATCAAACTTGATTCTTGGAATCGTCAGAGAGTGTCTTGACCTAGAATGATCAGTCTTGCGCACCCAAGTTCTTGGTGACGTGTTAATTCCACTTGATAATTTCTATCACTGGAACTCAGTGAATCGCGAGTGTGCCCTTTCACTTCGTGCGGGGTTTCAATTCCTTCATAGAATAGCAGTCCGTAATGTTTGGACGCCCCCATGATTCTTCATGAGTAACTCTTAGATGAGTTTGAGCAATTAAAGTTCCGATGCTCCTTTACCAGTAAACAAAGAGTGTAACGGGTTTATTCGTTTCCCTTTCTCTCGTCTGTTAAAATCTAACATTAGCGACGATTAGCCTTTCAAGGTCTCTTAGCTGTCGTGCCGACCGTTAGATGAGCTTGATTGGCCATGGACGAAGTTTAACGATGCTGAACAGATTGTCAGTTTCTAGTTAGTAGTTGACTATGGCAATTATCTAATTTGCCTTAGACTTCGTTGATTTGCAAACAAATACTTGTTTACTATTTCAGTGAGATATCTTCATCACTTAGGTATGAGAAATCGGAACATGGTTCCGAGAAGTCATCATCCTGGCCTAACCCTCAGAACAGGAGATCTTCCAATCCGAATGATTGAAGTCGAATTCGCAAAG